TCATTCTGAATGGCCTCCAAGACTAGAGGGCCGAGGGCTTTCCTGATATTTGACACTTTTACTTGTGCTTCTGCCGTCACTTTGTGGACGTTCTCCAGTGGAACAGATTTGGCAGTGTATGGACGAGCAGATCCTGCCTAGCCCCGTGTCTCGCTCAGGTCCTGTGTGTCGCTCAGGTCCTGTGTCTCGCTCAGGTCCTGTGTGTCGCTCAGGTCCTGTGTGTCGCTCAGGTCCTGTGTGTCGCTCAGGTCCCGTGTCTCGCTCAGGTCCTGTGTGTCGCTCAGGTCCTGTGTCTCGCTCAGGTCCTGTGTCTCGCTCAGGTCCTGTGTCTCGCTCAGGTCCTGTGTCTCGCTCAGGTCCTGTGTGTCGCTCAGGTCCTGTGTCTCGCTCAGGTCCTGTGTGTCGCTCAGGTCCTGTGTCTCGCTCAGGTCCTGTGTCTCGCTCAGGTCCTGTGTCTCGCTCAGGTCCTGTGTCTCGCTCTTGTCCTGTGTCTCGCTCAGGTCCTGTGTGTCGCTCAGGTCCTGTGTCTAGCTCAAGTCCTGTGTCTCGCTCAGGTCCTGTGTGTCGCTCAGGTCCTGTGTCTCGCTCAGGTCCTGTGTGTCGCTCAGGTCCTGTGTGTCGCTCAGGTCCTGTGTCTCGCTCTTGTCCTGTGTCTCGCTCAGGTCCTGTGTCTCGCTCTTGTCCTGTGTCTCGCTCAGGTCCTGTGTCTCGCTCAGGTCCTGTGTCTCGCTCAGGTCCTGTGTCTCGCTCAGGTCCTGTGTCTCGCTCAGGTCCTGTGTCTCGCTCAGGTCCTGTGTCTCGCTCAGGTCCTGTGTGTCGCTCAGGTCCTGTGTGTCGCTCAGGTCCTGTGTCTCGCTCAGGTCCTGTGTCTCGCTCAGGTCCTGTGTGTCGCTCAGGTCCTGTGTCTAGCTCAGGTCCTGTGTCTCGCTCAGGTCCTGTGTGTCGCTCAGGTCCTGTGTCTAGCTCAGGTCCTGTGTGTCGCTCAGGTCCTGTGTGTCGCTCAGGTCCTGTGTCTCGCTCAGGTCCTGTGTCTCGCTCAGGTCCTGTGTCTCGCTCAGGTCCTGTGTCTCGCTCAGGTCCTGTGTCTCGCTCAGGTCCTGTGTCTCGCTCAGGTCCTGTGTCTCGCTCAGGTCCTGTGTCTCGCTCAGGTCCTGTGTGTCGCTCAGGTCCTGTGTCTCGCTCAGGTCCTGTGTGTCGCTCAGGTCCTGTGTGTCGCTCAGGTCCTGTGTCTCGCTCAGGTCCTGTGTCTCGCTCAGGTCCTGTGTCTCGCTCAGGTCCTGTGTCTCGCTCAGGTCCTGTGTGTCGCTCAGGTCCTGTGTGTCGCTCAGGTCCTGTGTGTCGCTCAGGTCCTGTGTGTCGCTCAGGTCCTGTGTCTCGCTCAGGTCCTGTGTGTCGCTCAGGTCCTGTGTGTCGCTCAGGTCCTGTGTCTGTGTTTACTGACTTCCATTTTGTCGTAGAATATTGTGCATTAAAATATTTAAATCGGAAATAACAGCAAAATAGTTTTCAATATTCTACTTTGTTCTTGAGAACACTGCTAGATACTAATATTGCCTTCCTATATGTAGTCTTCTATATGTAATGCTATATGTAGTCTTCTATATGTAGTGCTATATGTAGTCTCCTATATGTAGTCTTCTATATGTAGTCCTATATGTAGTCTTCTATATGTAGTCCCATATGTATTCTTCTATATGTAGTCTGCTATATGTAGTCCTATATGTAGTCTTCTATATGTAGTCCTATATGTAGTCTTCTATATGTAGTGCTATATGTAGTCTTCTATATGTAGTCCTATATGTAGTCTTCTATATGTAGTCCTATATGTAGTCTTCTATATGTAGTGCTATATCTAGTCTTCTATATGTAGTCCTGTATGTAGTCTTCTATATGTAGTGCTATATGTAGTCTTCTATATGTAGTCTTCTGTATGTATTGCTATATGTAGTCTTCTATATGTAGTCCTATATGTAGTCCTATATGTAGACTTCTATATGTAGTCCTATATGTAGTCTTCTATATGTAGCCCTGTATGTAGTCCTGTAGGATATGTAGTCCTGAGTTTATGAATGATGAAATATTGACGTATATAGTCTAAGATTTAATTTAAAATACCCTAAGTCATTTGTTGATAAGATTGCCAAATTCTCGTAACACTTTTCTTAGTTTGTAAAAGATGAATACAATAATAATGCTACTTCATGATAACTCCAAAATCATTCCTAAAATACTAAAACAATTTAATATCAATGTGGCATTTAGGAATCATGATATAAAAACACATTAAAAATTCCTCACACTTAGTTGCAGTGGTTTCGTGTGTATGAAATTCCACGTAAAGATTGTAATGAGTTCTATGTTGGTCAACATCTTGACCAGAGAATACAAAAATTACAAACATAGAACAACAACGGGTCAAGAGTCCAAATGGACTCTATAATATTCTGCATTAAAAATCTTTAATGCACTCACAAATTCTTACAACTCTCAACTGTCGCACAGTTGAGAAATCGATTTGTTATCTCGATTTCAGTTTAGGCTGCGACGCTGAACCTTGGACCAATTGGATGTGTAGTACTTTCCAAGAATAAGTAAATACCACTTAATATTCACTGAATACCCCAGTTAATGTGCACTTAATCTCACCTTCATGCTACTTGCATTAATCGATAGTTTAGCTTGTGAATCTTTGTCTAATCAGGTGTTTTTTAATTCTTGCATATATATATATATATATATATATATATATATATATATATATATATATATATATATATATATATATATATATATATATATATATATATATATATATATATATATATATATATATATATATATATATATATATATATATATATATATATATATATACCTAACAAACCGACCCAACCTGTCCTCTTACAAATTTCGTCTGAATTTGTCCGTATGGCCGAAAATGGACGGAATTTGAAAATGAAAAATAATTGAAAATAAATTTTGGATTTTTTGTTTTCCAAAATAGCAAGAGTCCTCTGGTAGGTTAGAAGGGCAGGAAGGTCTCCTAAGGTTTCAAAACGTCATGAAAATCGTTAATTGAAAGTTTCTTCTCCTAACCTAACCAAGTAAACAGGAAAACCGAAAACGGGAACAGTGCGTCACTTTCGCGAGCCGATTTCTTGTAAAATTACGTCAATTTTTTGGCCATAGCGACGTAATTTTATGAGGACGGATTGCAGGCGGAATGAGTTTCGTTATTTTCAAATATTTTGTTCCAGATTAGTTGTTTTTTAACAATAATAATTTATTATATTAGGAACATGAATGACTGACTCAATTCTGTTAGGATAGGATAGATTAGGTAGGTCAGGTTTGATCAAATTTCTGTTAGGTTTGACTCAATATGAAATTGCAGTCATATATAATACAATGAAAACTATATTATTTGATAAGAAAACGTTTTGTTAAAATTCAATTTCACGAAAATTTGGCTTGTTAGGCAACTCTGGCTATTAGGTACGACATATGTATATATATTAAATTTGGGGGTGTGGGTTGGGTAGGGTGATATCTTGGTTAGGGTGTTGTGGCAGTGTTGGTTAGGGTGTTGTGGCAGTGTTGGTTAGGGTGTTGTGGCAGTGTTGGTTAGGGTGTTGTGGCAGTGTTGGTTAGGGTGTTGTGGCAGTGTTGGTTAGGGTGTTGTGGCAGTGTTGGTTAGGGTGTTGTGGCAGTGTTGGTTAGGGTGTTGTGGCAGTGTTGGTTAGGGTGTTGTGGCAGTGTTGGTTAGGGTGTTGTGGCAGTGTTGGTTAGGGTGTTGTAGCAGTGTTGGTTAGGGTGTTGTGGCAGTGTTGGTTAGGGTGTTGTGGCAGTGTTGGTTAGGGTGTTGTGGCAGTGTTGGTTAGGGTGTTGTAGCAGTGTTGGTTAGGGTGTTGTGGCAGTGTTTGTTAGGGTGTTGTGACAGTATATGTACAAGTCTTGTTTCTGTATATTTACATGCATTGCTACTTTAAATGTACAGGTTCTGCTGTTGTAAATGTATGTTTTGAGAAGGTCTACATTTGGTCAGGCCTACTTCAGCAGGTGGTACAGACTCCCAGAGGTACTTGTAAATAAGCTTAAGCCTAGCAGTACTAACTTCTAGATGTCTACTGACCTTATTGGATGATCCAAAGATACGTGTGGATCTTCCTGCATAATAGTGTGATGACAGATGGAAAAACTAGTGTGAATTTCACTTTGCCTCAAGTCTACTAGATTTCAATTGCAGGTCTCGGTATATTACTGCACTCGGGATGCTTAACAAGACAATCCAAGATAGCAATAGACTCCCTCTTCACACATACTTTGGTAAACATTATCAGTCTTATGCATTTGGATGCCAATATGGGAAGGAATCATATCATTGACTATAAAATCTGCACTTACTTACCTCTAGCCGTATATGTAAAGTCTTAATTAATAGGTTTTTTTAATTGTGCTACTTTGAACATTAATGGGCTCAATTGTAGAAACAAACAGTTGCAGGTAATATCTTTGTTTAAATATCATAACATATAAATGTTCGATTTGCTTCTGAGAAAAAAAAATAATATATATAATTCAGTCTTAATTTCCTGCTAATGTGAGCGGTTCTTTCTTGCCATTGTTGTTTGTCCTGTCACCAGCATTCATTCTTGTGTCTGTACCAAGAGCTGTAAGCAACGCAACAGGAATATCAAAATTCATTCAGTAGATGTATTTATATATGGGTGCTAGAAGATTGTTTTGTGACGGCAAGCTGTTTCCTGGACTCGCTTTTCAGTGCTTGTGGATCACCATTTTGAGTTCCAAGCCTCGTCATTTTGAGGTCCAAGCCTCGTCATTTCGAGGTCCAAGCCTCGTCATTTTGAGTTCCAAGACTCGTCATTTTGAGGTCCAAGACTCATCATTTCGAGGTCCAAGCCTCGTCATTTTGAGTTCCAAGACTCGTCATTTTGAGGTCAAAGCCTCGTCATTTTGAGGTCCAAGCCTCGTCATTTCGAGGTCCAAGCCTCGTCATTTCGAGGCCCCCAGCCTCGTCATTTCGAGGCCCAAGCCTCATCATTTTGAAGCCCAAGCCTCGTCATTTCGAGGTCCAAGCCTCGTCATTTTGAGGTCCAAGCCTCGATATTTCTAGGTCCCAGCCTCGTCATTTCGAGGCCCAAGCCTCATCATTTTGAAGCCCAAGCCTCGTCATTTTGAGGCCCAAGCCTCGTCATTTTGAGTTCCAAGACTCAACATTGAACGTTCAATGGTTCCTCCACTGCCCTCTAGGCCGGTGTAGCGGACAGCCCGGTAGAATGGTTGACGCGATTCCATAATTGACTACATCTCTCATATCTCTCATACCCATAAATGCAATAAAAGGCTGCCCAGCCGATATTATATATTATTTACCGACAGTATAAACATCAGGCTGTATATATGTGTCAGGCGTTGTCATCCACACTCGTATAAACATTCTTAGTAGCATGTGAGTGCGCATGTGCAAGCGTGTTCCTTCCCTAGAAAATGGCCCCGATTTTACTGGTTCGGAAATATTTTTAAAGTCATAATTGAGAATTTATCTTTTAGAGTCTAGTCTTGAAATATCCTTTTCAGAGCATATTTAAATTAAATATATTAATCATTGACAGCAACTGTTTATATATATCATAAATTTGTTTCATAGAATTCTGTATTTAAAATACTTAAAGTTGTAAAGCTGCAAAAATACCTTTTTGCCATTTCCAATTTCGTTTTAGAGTTAAATTCTTACTCAAAACTATATTTAAAGAAACAAAAATATAGATTTTTTAAACTGAATTGATGTATGTACCAAAGGGATTATCATATATTAAGAGTTTAATATTTTAAAACGTTAGCAAGTCATTCATATAGTTTCGCTTTATCGAAAAAATACAGATCTTGAAATATTTATATTAAAAGTAAATAAGTAAATATGGTGAGCCCGTAGTGGACTTATAGTAACTAATTTGGTAATAATTTCATCTAATCTGTATATATATATATATATAGAATAAATAAATATGGGTTCACATGTACCTTTTTACTTAAGTATGATATTGAATTGAATTGAAATTGAAATAAGTTTATTGAGGTAAAATACACACAAAAGGATGAGGTAGCTCAAGCTATTCTCACCCCGTTCAGTACATCGTGTTAATACATACATAGACACACATCACAAACAATAAACATACTACCGAACATTCTGAGAGATAAACATATACATTTCCTTAAGTATGATAGAGACGATAAAGTGTTTTCATCTTTAATTTTGTAGATTTAAAAAAAGAAGTCATACCAATGATGAAATCTCTTAATTTTAAATATTCCAAGGCATTTATTGAAAAAGTTATAGATACTGTCCAATAAAGTTTCTTCACTTTGAAAAAAAAATCACTTTAATGAGATTATTTATCAAAACTGTAATATGACAGTGAGATTTAAGTGTCATGATATAAACAAGTTTTTGATGGAGATTCACGTAAAATTACCACACTGGCTGTGTTTACAAGTACCCTTGTAAGCCTTGTAAAGACTTTTATGCTAGACAAAATTGCTAAATGTTTTACCCTAGGATAAAAGAACAGTGCTGTTTCAGTATTTCTCTTCCTTGACCAAGTCCCTCTTTAAATGAAATAAAACGAGTCGGTTCGACAAAGGTCATTTTCTGATTATCAAAGCCATGCGTATGTTGTTAGGTTAGGATGTAATAGGTTAGGTTAGGATAGGTTGATTTGTATTGAGTTAGGCTAGATTTGGCAAGATTAGTTAAGCTTTAAAATACGTTGGTGAACAGTCTTTTTGACCGAGCTTAATTGTTGTTGTTGTTGTAATTGTTGTTAATTGTTGTAATTGTTGGGCTTATTTAAGGCCTATCAGCATGGATTTGGTTTCGCTTAGTGTTGGGCTTAACGCCTATCAAGCTCTAGAAAGTTATTAATTAAGGCAACACAAAAGCTTACTGACCAACCAGCAAGAATACGTATATATATATATATATATATATATATATATATATATATATATATATATATATATATATACTCTAGCTGGAAGAAGGGGGACCCATAGCCTCGGAGGAAACCACGCATAACGCATTAGAGGGAATGTTTAGATCCCCTCCAATACAGTTTCTGTGTGCTTTTCTCCTACCATCCCCTTCCATTTTTATTTTTTGTGCTTTATTATGTATTTGATGGTTACAAGATAAACATGAGTTGATACAAAAATAATAATACAAAAAGGTGCTTAAAGGTTATGGATCTCTTGAAAAACATGACAATGGGAAACATTGATGAATGTCACAGACGGGTTCGATCATTGTTGCAAGTCAAAATATATATATATATATATATATATATATATATACGTATTCTTGCTGGTTGGTCAGTAAGCTTTTGTGTTGCCTTAATTAATAACTTTCTAGAGCTTGATAGGCGTTAAGCCCAACACTAAGCGAAACCAAATCCATGCTGATAGGCCTTAAATAAACCCAACAATTACAATAACAACAACAATTAAGGTCGGTCGAAAAGACTGTTCACCAACGTATTTTAAAGCTTAATTAATCTTGCCAAATCTAGCCTAACTCAATACAAATCAACCTATCCTAACCTAACCTATTACATCCTAACCTAACAACATAC